AAAAGCCCTGGTAAAAAAAAAAAAAAAAAAAAAGTTAATCAGAGTGTTTTAGGGATAATGTTAGATCTATAATACAATAGATTTTCCTTCTCTTTTCCCTTTAAATTGTCATAGAAATGAAAGTTAAATCTTTATTTAACACAGCAAATTCTTGTCTATTTTGAAATCTCAGACAGGAAAATATGTATTTATTCCATTTAGTTCTTGGGTTACAGAAATACCCAACTGGATTTTTGGGGGTTTTTTGGATTTGCCTCAAAAGTGCCCCAATAGGACCTTAATAGATGTGATGCTTTCAAAGGTTAGATTAGTTTTCATTTAGCTTTTGTTATGAGGCCTTTATTTATAGATTTAAAAAATCCTTTGCATGTGGTTTATATAAGATTTAGCAAATGAGTGAACTTTAGTTCTACAGCTGTCTGCTCAGGGATGGTAACTCCAGGGTACCACGTTAAGGAGTCTGGATAAACATGGCCCCTCCTCTCGGGCTTGGAGCAGTAGAATGCTGGTCCCAAACAAATGAGCAACACAGCAGTGAGCCAAGCATGGCAAAGAAGTATGTGGAAGCCAGGCATGGTATCACATATGTGTAATCCCAGCTCTGAGGCAGGATTTCTGTGAGTTCGAGGGCAGCCTGTGCTATAGAGTACACATAATTAGTTCAAGGTCAGTCTGAACTACATAGCAAGACCTGTTTAAAAAAAAAAATGTGTATGAAGATGCTGAGCTAGCAAGGAGTTTGGGGAGTTCTTAGTTTTGTTTTGTTTTGTTTTTCCTGTATGTAATTTTATTTTGGGGGGGTACCAGAGATCAAACTCAGGACCTTCTGCTTCTGAGGAAGGCATGGCACCAGTGAGCCAAATCCCCAGCCCCCCCCCCTTGAGACAAGGTCTTGCTTTGTATTGCAAGCTGGCCTTGAACTCACTATGTAGCCCAGGCTGGCCTTAAACTCATGACAATCCTCCTGCCTCAACCTCCTGAGTGCTGGGATCACAGGTGTGCAACACCATGTCTGGCTATATTTTTTTGGTTTAATCTGTTTTTTTGTTTTTTGAGACAGGGTCTTGCTGTGTAGTTCAGGCTGGCCTCAACTCACAACAATCCTCCTGCCTCAGCCTCCTGAGTGCTGGGATTACAGGCGTGCATCACTACTCCCAGCTCTGGCTGTAATATTATTGTCCCATCCCCCGGCCCCTGCATTTTTAAATGTTTAAAATTTCTGCAATTTTAATGGCTTCATAATGTTCCATGTTCCGTGGAATGGGTAATTTTTGTAGTAGCATCCCAATTGTTGGACTTTCAGGTTGTTTCCATTTACTTTGCTAATGTAAACTGTTCTACCATGAAATTATTTGTAAAAGAATTGTCACTGGCATCTGTGATTAACTTCAGATTTGAGCTGGGTTTTGAATGATGAGTGCATCACCAGATAATCAAGGAAAGGGTAGGAAGGGGCTTTCCAGGTGGAGACAGGGGAGGTAGCCTCAAGTTCCAAAGTTCTCGGGCATTACTTCCCCAACACCAGCTAAGGGCTGCCCAGTAGGCTCATAAAGTTGTGGGCATAGCATGGTGAAGTTACAGGTTCTAGATGGCATTTTAATTGGATTTGCTTCTGTGTGCCTCGCTTTCACAGCCACAACCCAGGCAATGTCTTACTACCTCAACTCAGACAAGCACCTGGACCCAGGGCCCATCTATGTGCGAGAGAACGGGCAGCTGCACATGGTCAGTCTGGCTCGCGGCGGCATCAGGAGCAGCCTGAAGAGGCCAAGTCCTTTCAGACTGTTCCCCAAAGGCTTTTCTGTGGAGCTTTGCATGAACAGGGAAGATGACACTGCGCAGAAAGAAAAGACCGATCATTTCATCTTCACGTACACCAGGGAGGGGAATCTTCGGTACTCTGCCAAATCCCTCTTCAGCCTTGTCCTGGGCTTCATCTCTGACAATGTGGATCACATTGATTCCCTCATTGGCTTTCCTGAGCAGATTGCTGAAAAGCTGTTCTCTGCTGCTGAAGCCAGACAGAAATTCACACAGCCAGGTGCAGGGCTGCGGGCTTTACAGAAGTTCACAGAGGCCTACGGGAATCTGGTGCTCTGTTCCCTGTGCTTGCGGAACAGGTGAGCATTCTCATTAGGATATTGAGGATTTTAATGGATGCGTTTATTCTGTCAAGCTCTAGGGCTTAATGAGCTTGAGACTGTCCTTCATCAAATAATACTTCAATATAGAATTTCCAAATACCGAGTGGTAGGCATTTCAAGAAATATCACAGTTCTTTTACCTACTCATCTCCCACACTACACTTAGTTTTCTTTTGAAAATGTTTTATTAGTTGATTGCCACAGCTTCACCAAAAGACAGAAAATACTTTGCAGCCAGCTTTCCTAATAAGCGAGATCAGAAAAGACAAAATGTGAACTGGTATGGTGGCACACATTTGTAATCTAACACCCAGGATGCTAAAGCAGGAGATTCCAACTTTAAGGCCAGCCCGGGCCCTGTAGCATGACCCTATCACAAAAAAAGGAATTGAGGGGTGGGATGGGGACAACATGTAGTCTACCAAGTATCTTTCGGTGTGCTTTTGAGGGTGTGAAGATTAATACTCAGTATTCTTGGCCCTATCTCAGGTGTGTTTGTTTGTTTTTGAGACAGGGTCTTGCTGCAGGCTGGCCTTTACCTTACTATGTAGCCCTGGCTGGCCTTGAACTCCTGGCAGTACTCCTGCCTCAGCCTCCAGAGTGCTGGGATTACAGGTGTGCACCACCATGCCCTGCTGTTTCAGTTTTAAGATTAGTAGATATTGACTATTAGATTTTTTTTGGGGGGGGGTTACCAGGGATTGAACTAGGGTCCTTGTGCTTGCAAGGCAGGCCACCGAACCACTGAGCTAAATCCCCGGCCCCAGACTATTAGATTTTTAAAAAATAACAAAGTGACTAGAATTTCACATATGCTAAAGTTGAGAAATTCTCTAACAAGCAGATGTCTTATGATTTGCCTTTGCTCGTACGCTTTTATGTATTCAAAATTTTTACTTCACTGTTCTGTAAAAACATGTTCAGAGGCTGGGGGTTTAGCTCAGTGGAGCTGCCGCCTGTCTTGCAAGTGCAAAGTCCCGAGTTCGATCTCTGGTACCCCCCCGAATATATATATAAAACACACACACACACACACACACACACACACACACACACACGCACGCATGCACACACGCACATATACATTTAATTTAAAAATAATTTACAAGGGCCAGGGATGTAGCTGAACGGTACAGTGCCTGCCTGGCGAGCTCTAGGTCCTGAGTTTGATCCCTGCTACCCCCCCAAAATAATAACAGTTTTCAAGCTGTGTGTGGTAGTGAATGCCTGTAATCCCAGTATTCAGAAGGCTGAGGCAAGAAGATTGCTGTAAATTCAAGGCCAGCCTGGGGATACATAATGACTTCAATGCCAGCCTGGACTATATAATGAGACCCTGACTCAAAAAAATCAATCAAAAAAGACGAGGACAGACAGTTCAGACAGGATCACGGAGGTATAGAAAGCGCCCCTCCTGTCTCATCTCCTCTTTCCTCTTTCCTTATTCATTCCAGAGGCCAGCTCTGAGTACCCCCTTTCTGTCGTTCCAGAGCTGTGCTGTTCATTTGCACACTTTGTTACACAAATGACTGTGCACAGCATATACTGGTAGACACCTTGCTTTATTCACATCTTTTGGAAATCATTAATCATAAATACTTGCAGACTTTTAAAATAGCTCTATAGTATACCACTACCTGAATCTTTTTATGATTAGAAACTATAAAATGTAGCTTATAGTTACATAATCAATATGATCAGTGAAATGAGACCAAATAAAGCTATATCAGAAAATATAATCTAAATGCCTATACTTCAAAAAAAAATAATTTTTATTTAATTGGCTCATGGAGTTAATGGTTTCACCATAAGCCAAATATTGTACTTTAAAAAGAAAGGCGAGGGCCTGGGATTTAGCTCAGTGGTGCCACCACCTGCCTCGCAAGCGCAAGGTCCTGAGTTTGATCCCTGGTACCAAAAAAAAAAGGCATAAGGGCTTGGAATGTAGCTCAGTGGTGCTGGCACCTGCCTAGCAAGTGCAAGGTCCTGAGTTGCGTCCCTGGTACACACACACTCGAGGCATAAATTATATGCTGAGAACAGAACCTTGGATTCATAAACTGAGCAAGTGTCTTACAAAAGCTGGACTGGGTTTACAGCCATTGGGAAGGAGGAAAATAACCTTGCCTAAGTGAAAAAGTCAAGCCATATTTCATTGCATCTCCCATTAAATATACATTTTACTCTTTCTTTTTTTATTTCAAGTTATGTTTCTTGTTGAAAAATTAGAACAGTGAAAAATAGGATTATGGTGTGTACCTTGTTTTAAAGTTATTTATAAGAGCATATATTACTTGAGAAATATATAAAAGTGTAACATGTAACAAATTAATAATCCCACCATGGTAATAATCATTTTCAAATATACATTTTATACATTTTGGAATACATTCTCTACAGCTGTCGTCCCCCCCCACCTACTCTTGTAGTTTATTTCTCATGCATTTGAAAATACTATTTATGATTTTGTTTCCATGGACAGATTATGATAAAACTACCACTTTCATTCATTTTGATGAGCACATAAATTAGGGAAGCATTTCTGGAAGGCAGTTTGATAATATATATTAAGAGCCTTAGCCGGACATGGGGGCGCACACCTATAATCCCAGCACTGAAGAGGCTGAGGTAGGAGTATTGCTGCAGGTTCAAGGCCAGCCTGGTCTACATAGTGAGTTCAAGCCCAGCCTAGACTACACAGGAAGACCCTATTTAAAAAAAAAAATCTATCACAGTCTCTAATTATAATCACAAATGAGAACAAATATTTTTGTATAACAGTACTCATTGTAATACTGTTTGTAAACGAGAGGATCTGAAGGCATTGTCCAACTATAGGGAATTTGTTAAAGCAAATTATTGGTGTAGTCATGTGGTAAAGTATTATAGAACTGTTAAGGTAATGTTTTAGGATCATTTAAGATGATACAGTAAAATGACCATAAGATAGTAAATGGAAAAAAATGGCATATACTGTAGGATCCCAAGTTATTTTCTTTTTCTTTATGTGTACATATGTGCTCTACTGTTACCAATGAGCTGTGCTTGCAGCCCAATTTTATTCATACTTTTGTTTTTGTTTTGTTTTGTTTTTTAAGAGTAGGAAATTGAGGGAGAAACAGCTCCTGAGAGGTAGGAGGGGATCTGGAAAGTGGGTTGCTCTGTTTTTACTTTTTATATATATATTGCATATGTAGAAGGAAAAGAGAACCCAAAATATAGTCTAGACCATGGGATTGCAATTAGTTTTATTTTCTTATACTTTTCCATAATTAATACTTTTTTCTCTAGGAAGCATTTTTTTTTTTTGGTAGTACTGAGGAATGAGCCCAGGACCTTCACAGTGAGCCACATCCCCAGCCCTTTCTTTCTTTCTTTCTTTCTTTCTTTCTTTCTTTCTTTCTTTCGTTCGTTCGTTCTTTCTTTCTTTCTTTCGTTCTTTCTTTCTTTCTTTCTTTCTTTCTTGTTTCCCTTTTTCTCACTATGTAGTTGAGACTGACCTGGAACTCACTGTGTAGTCAGGCTGGTCTCAAACTCACAGCGATCCTCCTGCCTCAGCCTCCCGAGTGCTGGGATTACAGGCATGTACTACCACACCTGGCACTTTTTTTATTTTTTTAAGACAGAGTCTCACTGTATTGTCTAGACTGGCTTCCAGCTTGACCCCCTTCTGCCTCAGCCTCCCAGATACTTGGTATTACAGACATGGGCCCATGCTGAGCAGTCATGTATTTTTTTTGTTTGTTTGTTTGTTTGTTTGTTTGTTTTTTTGGTACTGAGGATTGAACTCAGGTCCTTGCACTTGACAGGCAGGACGGAACCACTGAGCTAAATCGCCAGCTATTCATGTATTGATTACATTTATTATCAGAAAATAAAGGAAACATTTTTTTTTTTTTGTACTGGGGATTGAACTCAGGACCTTGAGTTTGGGAGGCCAGTGGCAGCACCACTGAGCTAAATTCCTGGCTTAAGGAAACATTTTTAATGTAATCTTTGGGATCATATTTTATTGCAGTAATTCCAAATTTTGCTCTCTCCTTGAAATAAGGGTAGGATTTTTAAAATCGTGATCAAATTTTTGTATCCTTTTGACTTCTCAGAGGGAAATAACAGGCAGCAGCAAGTTTGGGGTTGTATTTGCAATCCAGGGATGAAGCTACAGCAACATAGTTGTGCCAGCACAAAAGGGAGTCAGATCATTAGGAATGAGTTTAAGAAGATAATTAAAAATAAGATAAGCACTTGCTCTCTTGGGTTAGTTCACAAAGATATCTGCCAAAAGGAGAAGCAGCCAGAGTCTTTGTAGCTGGCTTCTGACCCTGAAAAACTCTCCTCTTGTTTTGAAATCCCCGTGGTTTTTAACCAGTCACAGGGAAGCAAGTATGTTTTCCTTAAAATGCCACTTTATATTACTGAATAATAATAATAGGGTTTAACGGGAGCCTTTAAGATGCCATGTGCTTTTTAAATATTGTTTTTCTCAATTCTGAAAAGAATTAAGCCCCATTTTTCTATAGGGAGACATTGAAGCTCAGAAAGCTTAACATGACTTTCTCATACACAAGTAATTAGGACTGTTAGAATCTAAAATCTCAGGGCCGGGGATTTAGCTCAGCGGTTCAGTGGCCTGCCTCTCAAGCGCAAGGACCCGAGTTCGATCCCCAGTACCAAACAAAAAAAGAATCTAAAATCTCATATCTCTCTGGCACTAAAACTTGTCTGCTTTTTCTGTTGCTTCTCCACTGTACTATTGATATCTACAGATCAATAGTATAGTTGCTGGAAGACAAGTTGCAGTCAAGAGCTTGGAGATCTGTGATTGGAAGGTAGAAAACAGCAACTTTACTTACAATGCAGTTAAAATAAGGCTGAGTAAATAAGGCTCATAGGTTCTGCAGTTGGGGTTCCAGCACCTCAAGCCATCTGTACCCAGCAGTCAGGCTGTGATCAGTTGAGTATTATACATCTAATTTTGATTAGATGTAGGAAGAAAAATCCAACTTGCCTCTTGCCCTCTGATTATTCTGTTCTGTTTTTGACAATTTTGATCTTGCTGACAGAAGAGCGACATGAACTCTTTTTTTGTTTTTTTAAGTCGGGGTCTCACTAATCTAGGCTGGCTTTGAATTCTACTGTGCAGGCCAGGCTGACCTTGCACTTATGATCCTTCTGCCTCACCCTCTAGAGTGGAACTACAGGTCTGTTCCACCATGCCCAGCAAAAAATGAAATCTTGAATATAACCTTAGCACATCTTTTATCCTGCTGTGGAAACTTTGAGACTTTGAGAGCAAAGTAGAAGAGAAAGAGATGGTCTTGTCACAAGGCCAGTTCTCTAGTCTCTTAGAAGCCCTTCATCTCTGATTCTTGTCACTCTTAATTCCTTTCGTTTTACTCAGTGACCTCATCTGAAATAGATGGAAAAACTGCAAGGCAGGGCAAAGGCTGGCCAAGTGTGGAATGCCATTGTGATCTCCCTTTCCTTTCCAGAGGCCGCCCTGCTGCTTCCTGGTAACCATCTGGCAAGGTGCTGCAGTGTAATTAGGTTGAGGGTGGTTTGCTGTAATAACCACCTGGATGAGAGTCACTCTGCATACTTTTGTGTGAAGTTAGCAGGGTAGCAGGCCCAGTGGAGTGCATAGGTGCTCAAGCTTATGTTTGAGTGGAAAAGGTAAAGTGAGATATCTTAGTACTATACAAAGAATATGCAGATTAGACCCACAGTTCTTGACCATTTTTAGTTTTCAAATCAAATCAGTAGGAATTATACTTTAGGTAAAAATAATTTTTAAAAATTATTTTAATTTATTTGAGACAGGGTCTTGCTTTGTAGTGCAGGGGCCTCGAACTCACAGTGTAGCCCAGGCTGGCCTCAGAACTCAGTGATTCCCTTGTCAGCCTCCTAAGTACGCCACTATGCCTGTCTAAAAGCAACTTTAGAAAGAGTAATTAAAAGCTTAAATATGCTAAAGTTTTAAATTCTCAAATAAAGTCCTAATGCTAGTACCAAGCTCTGTTTGGTAACCAAGTAGATGTATTCTCTTGTGATTTGTTTTATGTGCAGTGTTTATTCTACCATCAAAGACTTTCAAGTTGTATACTAATTCACAAATCCAGTCTATGCCCAGATAGTGAGTCACCAGTGAAATCTGCTCACTATACAGTACATAGGATGAGAGGATGCTGACTGAGGCACACAGCCACACATTGAACTTTGTATTTAAAGAAGAAAAAGGCATAGAATGCTAGCACTCAGGAGGCTGAGGCAGGAAGAGCACTGCAAGTTTAGCACCAGTGGGGGCTATATAGTGAGTTCAAGGCCAACCTGAACTACGTACATGAGACCTTGTTTTAAGAAGCCAAATACAGAAAAAATAAAAGCAGGAAAAGAAAAGAAGTTAATTGTTCTTCATGTGGCACAGATATCTGGTGATTTCAGAAAAGCTTGAGGAGATTAAGTCTTTCCGGGAGCTGACCTGCCTGGATCTTTCCTGTTGTAAACTTGGAGATGAGCATGAACTCCTACAACATCTCTCCAGCGAGGCCCTGTCCAGGTACTGATGTGCTGTCAGCTATCTTGTCCATGAATTATTTTCATTTTTTCAAAGCATGCTCTTAATGAGATCCTCTTCTGGAATATAGGTTATTTCCCATTCCATTTTGTTTGCTAATTTATTTTTCTAAAATGTTCTCAATCTCCATTTAGTTGGTATAAGCAGTATAAATTGGACAATCAGTTTTTCCAAACAACCTTTATTTCTTTTTTTTGGTACCGGGGATCCAACTTGGGACCTTAAGCATGCAAAACAGGCGGTGGAACCACTGAGCTAAATCCCGGCCCCTAAACAACCTTTATTTCAACATGTAGCACTCGAACCTACTTGCTTGTACACTTTTTGTTTTTTCTCTTGCTGTGTAGTTCAGACTGAGCTTGAACTCACTATGTAGCCCAGGCAATCCTGCCTCAGCCTCCCAAGAGCTGGGATTACAGGCATGTGCCACCATGCCTGGCATAGGGTCGAAATTTTTTTCCCTTTTTTAATTCCTAGCTTATTCTAGGAAGAGATGAAAAGTCACACCATTTCTCACTGTCATTAATATTTGTTTTTTTTTAAATCACAGTATAAATTATAAAGCGAACTTGTTTTGTGTGTGTCGTTTGAGATACATGGTAGCTACATTTGTTTTGGGGAATTGGTACATGTATATATCATATCTTGATCATTTTTGACCCCTTACTTCTCTCTCCCCTTCCCAGAGAATGAACTATTGAAGACAGCCAGATAAGTTATTTTCAAGAGCCATGATTTTTTTAAATGGCCCAGTTCTTATGGTTCACAAATTGTCAGCTAATCTCACATCGCTCAGTCTTGCTGGTAGAGCAGAGGCCAGATGGATTCCTGTATGTGTTCATCCATGCCCAGAAGGGTCACACACCTGCACCTGAACTGCTGCAGGGCCACCCTGACTGTGGCACCACATGCTGCCCACACAGAGGTGCATTTTGGGGTTGGGTAGCACTGAGGCTTAGATTTCTTAACATATTTGTATACCAGTTTCAAGTTAGCCAGATAGACTGGGTTATGAATATTCTGTAACAGACCAAGTCTGAAAATCTAGACTCTTAAAGCTGGTTAGAATGAGAGGATTGCTTTATGAAAGGAATTCTCAAAGGAGTTCTTTAGCAGGCTTTTCTGGCCTATTTAGAATACATTTGGTTTTTACATAATTTATCCATGATGCAGCTTTTGTGCTGAGGTATATTTGTCCCCTTAATGGAAGCCCCTATTTACCTCATTACTATATTTCTGTAGTGCCTTTTGCCATCTGGAATTAATATTACATGACGCTTTGATCTGTAAATTACCCCTCCCTCTGGAACTGAAATGGTACCAAAAGTGGCTTAATTTGTGTGAAATAACAGCAGTACAAGGTATTTTATATTTTTAAGTAAAATGTTACAAAGCATGTTCTCAAACTCTCTTTAAGTTATTTATTTATGGAATTTTTTTCCTTAGTATAACTCAGCTCCACCTGAAGGATAATTGTTTATCTGATGCTGGGGTGCGGAAAATGACAGCACCAGTTCGTGTGATGAAAAGAGGCCTTGAGAACCTAACATTGTTAGACTTGTCTTGTAAGTTTTATGAGCGGTTCTGATTATTATTGGAAGATTGCTTTTCCCCTGGGGAGGTGGGTTTCCTACCTCCTCACCAGAGTGGGGTGTGTGCCTACACGCAGCCACGACAACAGCGATGATGATGACGATGACGGCCAGGTACCCCCTTCCCAGCAGCCACTGTGCACCCTGATGGAAGAACGTCTTTAGCTGTCATCTGGTCCTTCCTCTTTGGGTTAGAGTGATTGAGGAAAGCTGGCCCTCTGAGGTGCTGTAGCAGGCTAGTGGCAGAGCAGGGCTGAATCCATAGGCTCTGACTCCTGGCCCAGTGCCTCTTTCAGCTCATTGTCACTTCGGGTAGGGCAGGGAAAGCCCTCTCAGATCATCCATGCCACTTGCTGTGTGAACAAAAAACAGCCTTCCTTCATATTTGTGGTATACATAAAGGACGTCTGGGTGTTTTTCTTTGAATCTCTGATCCACGGTGTCATACTGTGTTAGGACCTTTTTTGTCAGTATTTACTCAGTGAAAAGCTGGATGAATCCACAGTTGCGGTGACTTGCTCAGGATTAAGCAGATACTGACTTCAGTGATAGGAAATCAACAGGTTTTTTTAGCATTTGAGCATCTGTTGATCCTACGGCAGGATGCTGTGGTGCCCAAAGAATAAAAAGGCAGGGGTGTGAGGTCACAGGGTCTTCCTTGCTGTGCTACTTCTACTGCTGTTTAACCCTCTGAGCCTTGCAAATGACAGAAATGAATGCCTGGCCCTGTTTCCCAAGGAAGTAAATTATTGGACTCTTTTCTTCTTTTGGTATCTGTGGTGTACTGGGCATATATGCTACATCAAAGAGGACGGTGCCAAATGCAGTACTCTGATTTGACAAGATGGAAAAATAAGAAACATTCTGGAAAAAATGCAAGTTAGAGTAATAATAGCTTCTGTATCTAAACACTGCTGAAATTTTTCTTTTAATAAGTAAATGTTTTTACTTTAGAAGTAAAATGCCCCTGGATAAAGCATAGTGGACCATTTTAGTGGATGTTTTTATATGCCATTTTCATATGGGTTCAGAGTAAAACTTTTGGGATAACTGATTTATGTACTTTTCTGTTCATTCCCATCTCCTATGTGTTTAGGGATGTGAAAGAGCTTAAAGATCATGTAGTGTGACTGTGCCACATTACAAATGGGAAAATAAGACCCAGATTTAGTTTATTCCAAAAAGTTCTCCCACTCAATATTTTATAGTTTATCATTGCCTGCACTTGTTTTGAGCATATAGTTGGCATTTTAGCAGCAATTGTGTTATAACAAAATGCTGCCTTGTTTTGACATCTAGGTAACCCTGACATCACAGATGCAGGAGTTGGATACCTCTTTTCTTTTAGAAAACTAAACCGTTTAGATATCTCTGGAACAGGGCTCAAGGTAAGACTTTGTTTCTTTCATTTTTTCTAAATTAATTAATTAATTAATTAGTTTATTTTTGTGACGGGGATCAAACTCAAGACTTTTTTCTTGCCAGGCAGGCATGGTGCCACTGAGCTGAATCCTCGGCTATTTTGGTTTTATTGAAACAGGGTCTCACTGTGTATCTCAGGCTGGTCTCGAACTCATAGCAGTCCTCCTGCCTCAAGCTTCTGAGTGCTGGGATTACAGGTGTACAGCACCACACCCAGCTTTCTACATTTATACTTTGATATTTTACTTCTGCTAATTTGTGCTCAAAAGGGACTGATACTCGGTGTGATATTATTTGCTATTGAATGTAAGAAAGAACTGGTCAAATGTTTGATCTGTCTTTTCTTCTGTAGGATATCAAAACTGTCAAGCACAAACTTCAGACTTACATAGGCCTTGTTCATTCCAAAGTGCCTTTGAAGGAATTTGATCATGGTAACTGCAAGACAGAGGGCTGGGCTGACCAGGTACTCCAGATTTTTCTCCCCTACAGTTAAAATGGCTTTTCATTTTAATTCCATGTGTGTTGTGGAACATGTCAAACAACCAATAATCTTCTTGGTATTGCTTGGCTGAACTGTCATATCATACACACTAATGAGCTGTAACTCACCTACTTACAGAGTTAATGTGGAAGCCAGGCCTCATAATTCATTCTCTGATCATAGCTTGGGCTCTTCTTTATTGGACCTAGGAGAAAATGCCATTTTACAAATGTCCAAAGAGAATTCTGGCTTGCTATGCACAAAAGCAGTCTGACCTTACTTCAGGACAGATTCTCTTAGTGTGTACATGCAGGGGAGAAGAAACTGGTGTTGCACTGATAAGGATTCAAATCTCACTCTTCCACGCTCCAAATGCTGGCAGTTATTTCATCGTGTGTATTCTGGATCAAGCTTCAAGTGTCCCTCACCAGTGTCCCTCCTGACTGCGACAGGCAGTTGGATAGATCCATCCTCCCCATGTGGCCTGGCACCAAGAAGAGGGATCTGGGACAGAGTTTGATGGTTACTGTAGGTGTCTACCAAGAAACATTTGTTCAAAGTGTCGGAAGGGAAGGCCACTATCCACAGGCAAGCTGGCATTAACTTGCACTGCCCTTCTTGGCTACTTTCTGACCTTCCTTTAGTGGTACTGGTTATTGAACTTAGGACCTTGGGCTTGCGAGGCAGGCATGGTACCAGTGAGCTAGTTCCCCAGCTTTGACCTTCCACTTAAGTTACCAGGTTGCAAAAGCCTATTAGGAGCCTGGGGGCCGGGGATTTAGCTCAGTGGTTCTGCCGCCTGCCTTGCAAGCACAAGGACCCGAGTTCAATCCCCAGTACTAAAAATGAAACAAAAAGAGCAAGCCCCCAGGCCACTGGGGGCAGGTGCTCTATGGTCATCCGAGACTTCATGCAGTTCCAGCAAATGGCAAGGTGGAAGGAAGCAGCCCAGGTTGTGTCTCAGAGAGAGTCTCAGGTTTGGGATCCTAGCTCCACAACCCAAGTCATATGACGAAGGCAGTTTTGAGTTGTTCCTTCATCCCTAAAATGCATAAACCAGGACTTCTCTCATAGAGCTTTGAAAGGATCAAATAAAACCGTCTGACCTGAAAGTAAGTTGTTTGGGCTGGTTGGTGCCCCTTCTTGTCATCCAACCTCACCTAGGCCCCTGAGTTTATTGTCATTGCTTTACCTTATCACTTGTTGATCCCTGTTGAAACTGCTTCAGTCTGACCTCAGCAGATAATGTAGGAGAATGAAGCCATCTAATGGGTCTACTTCTTTCTCTGTCTCTGGCTGAAAGTTTCTCTATTTCTTTGACCATGTTGTATTTACCTGCTAGCTAAGAAGAACAGGTATGCCACTTTATATCAGTGACAAGTTCTTTTTTTTCTTTCCCTTTTAAAAAAAATCCTTTTCCCAAAGGTGTCCAGTATCCTCTCTGCTATTTCCTAATAATTATTTTCCCCTACTTCTCTGCTGCGTCTTGGATGTCTCACTCTCGTGACTGTTTTATGTCTGTGTTTTAACTATCTTCGTTCCCTAGTGTAGCTGTATGTTGTTTGTATGGTTGGTTTTTAGAGACAGGGTCTCACTATGTAGTCCAGGCTGGCCTTGAACTCACTATGTGGCCCAGCTGCCTCAAACTCATGGTAATCCTCCTGCCTTAGCCTCTTGGAGTCCTGGGACTACAGACTGCACCCTCTCGTTATATACTATTTTTACCTCTCCAACTGAGTGCTTCCCTCTCAGTCTGCAAGTAAGTTCTTACAGTCTAGCTATCCTACTGAAGGTGTTCTCAGAAGGTGGCAAGTGACCTTGTTCTTCACCTGCCTTGGTATTTCTGAAGATTTGATGTAAAAAATGCATGCCTTGTGATTTTTCTCTCTGCTGATTCCTGCTTCTTTTTCTTTCATACTCCACTACCCTGATGATCTTAGCTTTTCTCAGGGCTTTAACTGTCCATGGGAGGATAACTGTACCCTCTCGGATGCTACACCCATTCTCAAACATTGTCCACAGATTGGTCTGGCATCTCAAATTCAGCTTGCTTGGAACTGAACTTATATTTTTCTTCTGCATTCCAAATAGTCCACCTCCCCCCATCAGTGTGTGTGTGTGTGTGTGTGTGTGTGTGTGTGTGTGTTACTGAGGGTTGAACCCAACCAGGTCCTTCACACTAAGCTGCATGCCCACCCATTTTTTATTTTGAAACAGTTTGCTTAAGTTGGTCAGGCTGGGCTCAAACTTGCCTCAGCCTCCCTAATAACAGATTACAGGCGTGTGCCACCATGCTCAGCTCCCAAATAGCTCTTCTTACTGGCATTTTTATTCTTGGTAGTAAATCAACAAGTTCAGTTGATCTGTTCATTTTCACACCTAGAAGGTACTGTGAGCCATGTTTACTGAGGGCTTTCTGTGTGCCTTTGTCACAGCTATGTACAATATGTCCTCTTATTAATGCCTATTTTTCAGACAATGAAATTGAAATTCAGAAATTGAATCTCTTGCTGAGTCTCCTAGCTAGTGAGTGGTGCAGCCAACTCTAGAATTCTGTTCTAGAACTTTATTGTTCTGCTCTGTGCCTTGAAAATGTTTTCTTGACTGTCTATGATTATTTCACTGCATATTATGAAAAATAGTAAATGCAACATTCCTTTTTTTTTGTACTGGGGCTTGAACTCCAGTCTTTGTGCTTGCACAGCAGGCAGTGGAACCACTGAGCTAAATCCCCAGCCTGCAACATTCTTGTTTCTCATAATTAATGATTTAATTTTATTTCTTTTGTTTTTATCTATTTTGTACTCAGACTTCTAAAAGAATTTGTAGTACCTTATAACAAATACATTTTTAACAGTTAAAAAAACAAAAACTGGTCGGGGGTTTAGCTCAGTGGTTCCACTGCCTGCCTCGCAAGTGCAAGGTCCAGAGTTCAATCCCTGGTACCAAAAACAAAAACAAAAACAAAAAAAACCTAAAAAACAACTGATCATGAAGCATTACAAGAATATGAAAATGTGAGCTTTTTACACACATGAACATTTGAGTTATCCTTTGTGTACTTAAGGCACAAGAGGTTTCTGGGAATGTATAAAAAAGATTATGGCTAAGGTTTTGAAATTTTAATACTGTATTTAGTTTCAGGATATGGAACTTCTTTGTAGCTTGAAATAAGGATGGGAATAGACAGTTGGCTTTGTATTCAGGCCTTGCCTGAATCTTAGAGTTACAAACATCCAAACTGGTTTTTTTTTTTGACTCAGCTCTTGCATGAGAACAGAAAATCCAGACTTAACTTGGTTCTTTTTTTTTTTTTTTGACACAGGGTCTCACTATGTAGTTGAGACTTTCCTGGAACTCACTATGTAGTCCAGGCTGGTCTCGAACTCACAGTGATCCTCCTGCCTCAGCCTCCTGAGTGCTGGGATTACAGGCATGTGCCACCATGCCTGGCAAGGTTCTTGTTTTTTTATCACCAGTTATCAAAATAGTATTTACCATAGGGTTTGTGTTTGTGGAAAGGGAAGAGAAAAGTTTAAGAGTAAAAGCTTAAAATTTTGTTTGCATTCACATCTTTCTAAATAACCTTTCAGGTGGTCCTGCAGTGGGATCGATTGATTGTGGAAGCCTTGAAGCCATCAAGTGTCCGTGAACCTCAAAAGACAGCTCAGTACTTCTGTGAGAAATTATCTTTTCTTTTGGAGGTTTTGCCCTTGGGTTTTTGCATCCTTAAAGTAATGAGCCTGTCTTCTCTCAGTGGTAAAATTGTGATATTGTATTGACTAATTTATGATCACTAAGAGTACTATTCCTGTAATCCCAGCACTCAGGAAGCTGAGGCAGGAACAGTGCAAGTTCAAGGCCAGCCTGGACTACATCATGAGTTCAAGGCCAGCCTGAACTATATATAGCAAGACCCTGTCTCAAAAAACAAACAAAGACTTGTATTCTTTAGCATGGCTTAAGTAAGTTCACACTTAGCTTTGAGCACCAGGATCAGGAAGGTAGTTTTTTTTTATAATTATTTATTTATAGCCTATCTAGTTCCAAAGATTTGTGGTAGTGCAAAACTATACTACAAGCCATATTTATTTATTTATTTATTTTCCTGGTACTGGGGATCAAACTCAAGACCTTGTGCTTTTGAGGCAGGCCCGGTGCCACTGAGTTAAATTCCCAGCCCCAAAACTGCAGTACAGAAGATTACAAAGGAATTCGATGTAACCAAAGGTGGAAATGGGGCTGGAGATGCAGCTGAATGACTTGCTCAGCATGTAGGAGATCCTAGATTGGGGTTGTGGGGAGTCCATCAACAGATGAATAAAATATAAAGTAAGGGAATTTTGATACAGATGCTGTTTCTTTTTTTGGTACCAGGGATCGAACTAAGATCTTTGCACTTTTGAGGCACGCAGTGGAACCACAGAGCTAGATCCCTGTCCCCAGATGCTGTTTCTAAAAATCTGATTGTTCTTCTGTGAGGTTTCCAGGATAGTCAGACTCATGAGAGAAAATAGAACAGTGCTGGACGTGGTGGTGCACGCCTGTAATACTAGCACTTGGGAGGCTGAGGCAGGAGGATTGCTGTGAGTTTGAGACCAGGTTTGGTTTTTTGAGACAGGGTCTCACTATGTAGTTGAGACTGACCTGGAATTCACTATGTAGCCCAGGCTGGTCTCAAACTCACAGCGATTCTCCTGCCTCAGCCTCCCAAGTGCCGGAATTACAGGTGTGCCCCACCACGCCCAGCTATTTTACCATAATTTTAAAGAAGAGGAATAAGGTGATGAAATTAAGATGAAAGAAATGTAAAGGTGGAAAAATAAGAATCCAAGGTATACCAGAAAGTACAAAACAAGGTCATATTGTTATCTTCATACCGCCCTTGTGAAATAGGATTTTATATTCTTAGAATGATTACAGAACTGAATCGCAGAGAAGTCCTTTTCCCATACTCTTGTATTAAAATCTAGTGTGCCATCCATACCTTCAGCTGTGCTGGTGCATGTGCTGCTGTTACTTCACAGGACATGCAGCAAAATACACTGGCTCCAGAACTCACTGTGTTTAGGCCTTTGTGCTTTCCCTTGGGTCATCTCTAGCCTTAAGCGGGCCTTAGTAAAGCTGTCAACTGTCCCTTTCACACTTCTAGATCAGAATCGAGCTCTAGTGGAAGCCTCGAGGATATGCGCACTGGCAGACACCCACATGAACTCTTCTGGAAAACTCCAGTTCTACAAGGAGAAAGCCCTGGACTGCCATGGGCCACTGTTGAAACATGAAGCTTCCTCCAACCAAGAGTCAAAGAAGAGCAAGAAGAGAACTTTTGAGGAGTCAGAGCAGGAAGAGAATAATTCTTCACAAGCTTCCAAGCAGAAATATGTGTGTCTTGCTGTGGAAGACTGGGACTTGTTAAATTCTTACTGACCGGCAGATTTACCTTCAACTGTAGTGTGTGAAGAAAGGGGACTGATAATTACGTTTTGTTTGAATTTACCTGTGATATTAGCATAGCAAGCAGATATTTCTACTTTTGGGGTGGGGAGGGGAATACTATGGAAGTATATAATAATTTCTAATGTATATTTTCAATACACAGTAATTTTTTCAAATAAACCTTTTTGCTGTCCTTAAGTTCTGCTTGTGGATGATAGACTAGAACCACAGAAAATGAGATGGACAACCATGTGAACTAACAGGGCAGCTTGCAGGATTCGTTACTACTGCACTTTGAGCCAGCTAATAGAAAATACACAGTGGTACCTCTATTTCCGAACTTAATTTGTTTTATGATTTTTGTAGAAGAGGCTGCATTTGTGTTTGCGTGGGGAAGATGGCTGTGGTCGTATTTGTCACCAATGCAGAGTTTGTGAACCGAAGCAGAATTTTGCCAAACACTTTTGTTTGAATTGTTTGCCAACAGAAGCATTTGTGAACTGAGGTATTTCTGTATATGAATGAAGCTACCATTTATTGAATGCCTGCTCTCTGCCATATCCCATCTTGAAGATGGGAGCTAGCCCCAACTTAGAGTTAAGACAAGTCATTTAACCTCAAGTGACATAAGGTCACAGAGCTTTTAAGTGACATTCAAATGTATACTCCTTTCCAGCTGACTCTAAAGCCCATTCTTTTACATTGTGTTCTTAAATAGCAAGTACCGTTTATTAAGATCCCAGCCATTGAGGCTTTGCAGGCCACAAGATTTCAGCTGCAGCTCCTCAGCTCTGATCTTGTAGCACAGAGGCAGCGGGGCACACTAAATAAATGAGTGGGGCTATCTTTGAATAAAAGTAAATTTACAAAAACAGATGGCTGGTGAGTTAGCTGATGGGGCATAGTTTGCTGGCTTCTGCCTGAGACCCTGTTTCTCCAGCTTCATTTGAAATGCAGATTCAGATTCAGATCTGGAGAGGGCTTAAGATTCTTTAACACAAGTGCTTTTTTCTACCTGGATGTTGGCCTTTTGATCTCTTAGAAGATAGTCAAAATACTAGTGTATGTTTACACTAAATACATAGATACTGTCTGAAAAAAAGATTCTTTAACACCCATCTAATGCTTCTACTTTTGGGCCACACTGAAAAGCAAGGCTTTTGTAGACGTCTGCTGTCCAACTCAGTAGTCCCTAGATAACACTGAATGTCAAATATCAAAGGTTTAGTGCCCAAAAATATGAATGGAGAAGAATGGTGAATGCCTTCATTTTCAAGTACTGATTACCTGTAAAAACAGAAATTAAAACTACTTCCACCTGTGGCTGGGGATTTAGCCCATTATTTCTGCCACTTGCCTCGCAAGCGCAAGGACCCAAGTTTGATCCCCGGTACCAAAAAAAAAAAAAAAAAAACTTCCACTTGGTTTTTTGGAGGGCTTTGTTTGGTTGGTGGAGGCTGGGGGCGGGTTATACTTGGGCTTGAACCCAGGACCTTTGCACAGAGCTACATTCCCAGCCTTTTAAAAAATTTTCAGACAGGGTCTCAGTCACCACGGCTGGGTTCAAACTTGGAATCTGTTATAGAGATGCACTTGTCAACAACAAAGGCTCTTTGTTGTGAAGAAAAGTTTGTACCAGTTAACGGACTAGAAATCAGGAGATTTTGGCAGCTAGCTGGGAAAAGCCATTTATCACATCCCTCTGTGGATGGGCTGTGAGTGGGAGAAAGAGATATTGGCAGCTGGCTGGGAGCGATTTCATTCCTGAGAGGATGGGCTGACACCAGGGAAATAATACTAGTGATTAACTGGGAAAGAAATTGGGCTTATATAGGTATTGAAGGGGCTACGGATTCTGGAGTGACATAGTTATGACTTAGATGCCCAAGGATGGTTTGATCAGTTGTGTATATAATTATTGGACAATTTGGCACAAGGGGGTTGTAAACCATATTTTTTTAGTCCATTTGCCTCACTGCTGCTGGTATGTGCTAAAGCAGCCTATTTATTTTTTCTGTTGATTTAGGGCAGGCCTGACAGAATCATCCTGCCTCAGTCTCCCAGAGTGCTGAGATTGCAGATATGAACCAGCACACTCAGTTTTCACCTGTTTCACCTGATGTGGCACTAGAAATTTTTAAATAACATATATGGCTTCCATTTTATTTCTTTTCAGCAGCGCTGCTCTTAACCATATCCACCTTTAAAAGGTGAGTTAACAAAAGGACATACAGACAGTTAAAAGGAAGGGAAAAAATACCTCAAATTGAGAGCTTTGGTCTGACATTCAGGAATGCTGTGTGGAGCCTTTCATAAAGGTAGATCTTGGATCTGGTATGTTTTACCTGCCATGCTGAGCTAGGCAAAGTGGTATCTCTGTAAAGATGGCCAAGTTACCCAGGATCACACCAAAAATTGGTTTATAAAACAAACCAAAAAATAGAGTTGCATATTAGGATTTGGATCTTAAATGTACCCCAAAGCTCATGTGTTGAAGGCTTGGTTCAGAAGTGTGGCTTTTGGGAGGTATTACAGTCACCTTGCAGTTACTAGGACAGAATACTCAATATTTGCAACTTCAAGGAGAGTTTTATTTTGGCTCATGATTTTCAGATGATTCAATCTATGGTTGGTTAAGGCTAGAACATCATGACAGAAGGCCATGGTGGGCTGCTTACTCCACAGAAGGCAGAAAGCAAAAAGGAGGAATTGGGGGGCAAGAATACACCCAGGTCACGTGCATACTGTCCCATCTCTTCTGACAAGGCCCTGCGTCCTAACAACATATTCATCTTGTCAACATTCGGTCCATGCCCAGAAACTTTGTAGGAGCTTAAATTTAAAGACTGACTATAGTTTTATCTGGTGGAGGAAATCTCAAGGCCACACATCAGTGGCATGGGTTTTGCCGGCTGCTTTGGCCAGGTTTACAATGAAAATCTGAGGGAAAGCACAGCAGAAAGATCTGAAAAACATGCAGTTTTGCCAGAAAAGAAGCTTGTGTAAAGTTGCAAAGCAGGGTGGGTTTGCTAGAGAAGCGATTAAAAAGCCAATTACTGGCTGGGGATTTAGCGAAAGTGCAAGGTCCTGAGTTGATTCCCCATGGGTGGGGGGGACCAGTTACTTCACACCTGGATAATAGGACGATGCCTTGAGGGTATTTCGGGAATGATAAGACCCCACCCTTCCCAGGCTAAAGCTAAAGGTGTAAATACATTTGAATGACTAAGAAGAGAGCCCTGGTGTGGAGTGCATTGCTCAACCAGGACCACCTGGGGATTGTTTTCCTGGGCTAGGTTTCTTTCATCCATCCAGCCCTCAGCAGCTGCTATAGTTGTGATCTAAGGGGGTAAAACTGTAGCTCTTGCTGGCGGTAAGCCTTAGTGTTTCCCACGTGGTGCTGGTTTTGCAGATATCCAGACTGCAAAATGGGATCATAGTTGTTTCCACAGAGATTTCAAAGGAAAATTTAGGAGGCTTTCAAAATTGAAGTCACTGCCAGCAGACCCTGAGAGGGTGACACCTGAAGTTGTAAGAGTAAAGCCAAAGCTGCACTAAAGACCCTAAGGAGGGAGAGATGCCAGGATCATGGGACATCTGCTGAAGATGGCCACAGGCAACAAGTAGAGCCAGCTCAGTAGAGTGGCAGTGTGGTTGTGGCTGGTGAATTGTAGGGGGCTGTGCTGCCCAAGTGTGGGAGCCGGCCATGGCCTGCTGGTGTTTAACATTGGAAAAATAACTTCTTCTACCATTAAGACATTGATAGAATCTATGTAACATTTGTTCCTTTTCAAGGACTATGCCTGTTTGTTTATTTGGCTTTTCTGAGACAGGGTCTCAGCTATGCAGATGAGACTGACCTGGAGCTCACTGTATAATCCAGGCTGGTTTTATGGGATTACAGGCATGCACCACCACGCCCGACTCAAGGACCTTGTTAAATTTGTTTGTTCTTTGACCCTGTGATGGGAGGAACTCGGAGAGATAGCCAAAGAGCTGATCTTCTCAGTAAGAGTCAGAAAATCCGGTCTTTGCATACGAATAGTTGCTTGGTGCTTCCTGTTGGTGTACCTTTAAAAGGAGCTATTTCTGTAAAATAAATCAGACCTCTTGTCTCCACACTATTGAGTGTGCTGTCTTTTCTCAATCCTCACTCCCCAACTCAGGTTGTTCGTGTTGTGACGGCTGGACTGTCACACCCAAGCCTTATAGTTCACATCACACTGTGTCCTCCAGTACCAGACATGGAGCTATAGGATGTGATGTTTGCCCTGATGGTTTTGGTCTTGCCTTAACCTGGTCCTTCCTTTCTATCTCCCTATTCCTCTCTTTTTTGAATGGGAATATTTGCCTTATGCTACTTTGTCTTGAAGGTATGCATCTTGCTTTTGGTTTTCACAAGGGCTCACAGCTAAGAGTTTGCCTTGAACCTCAGAGGAGACTTTGCTGTTTTGTTTTGACACAGTGTCTCACCCTGTGGCCCAGGCTGGCCTTGAACTCTCAGTGATCCTCCTACCTCAGCCTCCAGAGTGCTAGGATTGCAGGCGTGCACTACCATGTCCAGCTTCAGAAAAGATGCTGGACTTAGACTTTTGAGCAATGTTGGAAGAGTTAAGATTTCAGGGACTCTTGGAGATAGACTGAGTGATTTTTGCACTGCAAGATGAACATCAGACTGGGAGGCCAGGAATCAATTATAATGGTTTGAATCTTTAACATCCCCCAAGAGTTATGCATTGGAAGCCTTGGTCCTCAGTGCAGAAAATGTTCAGGGGTGGGATCTTCGGGAGGTGATTGGATCATGAGGGCTCTGACTTCATTAATAGTTTAGTTGTTTATGAATTCTTA